ACGTCCGCATTAAAAATATCAAAGTTTAGGAGGGTGTAGAAAAAAAACCAAACCACATCTGGAAAATCGCAGACACGATTTTTGAGGGTGATGTGTGAGGAGACATTTCCAATGTAAATCGCGCCGCTCCGATAATTCACGCGCGGAAGCGAACCAGTTTAAGGGAAGCAGTGTTTCTGGGTATTTCTTTTAATATCACTGCGACAATAACTTTTTAGAAAATTTCAAAGATATGATTGTATTCTAGAACTATTAAACTTTCAGAAAATGTATAGGTTGATGGGGTTCTCTTTCAAAGCGCCAGCGTAAGAGCGCGATTTCCAAACACTGTCAATCCACCTACCATGATACCTTAAAATAGTTACAATGATTAGAATCATATGGGAACCATAGGAAATACAGATTTTTTAAAATCAATTTCTAACTCTACGGTGAAAAAGGCTTCTTGGGTTCCATCTGATTGAGGGATTGAAAACAACTTGTGGCAGAACAGGACCATTTCATGCAGTCCTTGAAAAGCTCTATAGTTAAATTATCTCTTTAATGAGATAATGTAAGAACTTTAGTCTAATAGTACAAATGTTGATGTAACTAGCTTAACTTTGTTTATTTCTATTATTTTGTGTTTGTTTGTGTCCCTGACCTAAACATGCAAAATATATTTTCTTTAACTGGCTGCCTGGTATTGTTACCTCTTACGTAATTTCGGGTAGCCAACACCCCTATCATTTTTGTTTTTACTTTAGCAAAACATTGTAATTTCTAACTCTGGAGTGAAATAAATGTTGTTGTTGTTATTGCTTTTGTTGTTGTTTTTGTTTATGTTGTTGTTAATGGGAGACATAGAGACACTTGGCCCATTTTTCTTGCAAGTGTTTTGATTGGATGATGAGAATCAGAAACACTTCAGTCTGAATATTTAGATTTAAGCAATAGAGCACTTTTTCCGTGTTTACATATCCTCATCTAAACATGAGGAGGGTTGGGAAATTCGAGACTCGACTACTGTACGTCTCGGGTTTGCATAACTTTCGAGAATTCTCCCAACCCTCCGAGTGTTTAGATGAGGCTCTGTAAACACGGAAAAAGTGCTCTATTGCTTTTACAAAATAATTCTCAAAAATACGCGCGAATCTAAAACGTCACAACCGTGTTTACATACTCTCATCTAAACACACCTATCGGCCAATGAGCGCGCGCGTAGTAGCTCTGTTATTCTATAAATACTGAGCAGATATACTCATTACAGAGTGTCCAGGGATTTCCTACAATGCACTGCCCAGGTAGGACACAGTATTTGTGTTTTGCACTGTATGCCAGCTAAAGGAACACACTCGCAGTATTTTGAGTTATTTTGGCCTCGTACAAAATTACCTTTAAATTAAAGGGAACTTGAAAATAGTAGTTTACGGGTAAATTTATATAAACAATCGTAACTACTCTGGGAAAGACCTTGGTACGCTGAAGGGGTGTCTAAGTTTTCCCAGATAAACTGACCAGTTGAGAAGTCGAGTTTTGGACAGTGCTCGCCAGCAAACTTTGGCAAGCACTTGCTTTTCGATTATTTTAACCAAATGATATGTATTCAATCATTTGAAAATAGCTAGTAATGTGGCGAATGACATCACTGTTCAAAGGAACTCAGTCATGGTATTTTGAGTTATTTTGGCCACATAAAAAAATAACCTTGAAATGGAAGGAAACATGAAAATAGTTTACTAACAAAGAAAAACACCAAAGAGATAATTAAAAACCATAAAGGGACAAGCAAGGTTAAGGATGGACAAGATTAACACAGATTACAAACGACGAACTTGATACACAAAGTCGCTACTTTAATAGGAGTACTCACATCCCCAGAGGTCACGGACGCTGAATCAGGTACATGCCCTTCCACCCTGCTAGTGTCATGAGGCTGCGGCGTTGGCTCAGGTCTGCAACATGTGCAAATATACCTGACTTTTGTCCAAAGTGTCTCATACCAAGGAACATCATCCACTTTTTTGGTTTTCTCCTCCCTCGTACCTGAGCAAAAGCAAACCCGTAATTAAATGGCCTGACTGTCCAGATAGGTGCGTGGAAGACTTTGATTGCCATTGGAAGTTTCCCACGAAAATTTTTAACAGACAGCAAAATGTTAGATTAGGTACTGCACTTCATCTGGGTTAATAGCAGTTTTCTCCCCCTCCATTACACACCTTTCACCCTTCGTAAGGATTGAGGTGCTTCGTGTACCGGGTACAAACAGTAAATCCCCTCTGGTGATCAAATTTCTCTATCGCCTTCACACAAACGTATCTTGTGCAGACCCTCCACAAAATAATGGCAAATAATTTCTTAAAATAATATTTACCGCACGGTTATCACTTTCAGAGTTCCTGGAACATTAGCCTACAGAGCAGATGTTTTTCTTTCCATTTTCCAAGCAAGGAGATAAAGCAAGCGAGTGAACGAACGACCGCGTCTTGGGTGAGCAAAAGAAATGGGGAGAAGTTTGTTCTCCCTTACCAAATTTAGAGCTGTGGCCAAGCATTTTTTGCCCCACCCCTCCCCCTTCTCGCAGTTTCGTTCCTTCACGTGCTTTTGCAAATAATGAACCTCTGCATATCCATGGACCTGAACTTTTGATCCCAGCCGGGATATCGTACTCACTACCCTAAACTAACCGTCTGCCCATTAGTGTAGTGAACCAGTTTGGAAACGGAAGAGCCGTTTTAACAATTTTTTGGAGATTTTTGTGCAAGGAAGAAATAACGTTTTCTTTTGTAGAAGTTTCTGAACTTGCTAGATTTCTTAGGCTGTCGATCGGGGTCAGAGAGTATGCGAGGTTTTAACCCTTTGAATACCAAACTTTCGCCAAAAAATACAGTTTTTAAGCGTTTAGTCAGGTTTTTTGGCTGCCATGACGCTAAATAACCCAAGGTTTGCTAAGAAAGCTTTTTTTTTTTTATACAAAAGGAGAGATTTTTCGAGGATTAGGTACAAAATTGAGCAATAGTTCAATTCTGGGCATGCGCATAAGCCAAAATTTGGACTTCTTTTTTTGTTGTTTTTTGTTTTTTGTTTTTTTGTTTTTTTGTTTTGCCATTAATCGTTCTCAATTTTATTTGTTGCTCCTTTTCTTTCTTTTTTTTCTCGGCCCTTTTACTCTGGCTACCTTTTGCGTTGCATGTTCTTTCTGGCTGCCGTGAAAAGTTGGATGTTAATTGCGGGCGAAGCCTAGAAATGGACCTTGATCAATCATAGGCGTAGTGGACCATTTTACCAACGTTTTTGCACCAAAACTGATTACGTTGTTTTTCGATTTGCGACGTCGGAATGTCGTCGATATCTACACCTGACCATTGTACGGAAAGGCCTAGCCTAGTACTACTATCTGCTTATCAAGAATATCTGATGACATTTAAATTGATGACGCCACAAGTGGTACAAAGAGCACGACCATTAATTACGCATATATGCGTAATTGGGGCTCAAAGGGTTAAACTAACTACATGTATTTTTGGAATTATTAATAACAGTTTCATTGGATGTACGAAAAATGAATGCCTTTGTTTTCACTGCAATTTGAGTGCGTTTGTATCCCGATTTCAACACTCACACATTCCGATTTTGTTCCATTTTTTTGGGCAAGGAGGTAACGCCAGGCTTCCCCCCACAACCCACCCAAAGTCCAAAGGTGCCCGTAGGCCTACGCATGTTTCAAAACCTAACAACAAAAATCATAACGTGAGACCAAGTTACTTGTATATGATAGAAGTTGTGTACAACTTCTAACTGATGAGAGTGACGTTACATCGCTCAGAGATCAGTTACTTAATTTAGATATTCTGTAGTTATAATCCGCTTCCAATCAATTTTGGATGAACAGAGACCCTGGGACCGAAATTAGATGAGAGAATCACTACATGCTAAAATATTGCAGACATTATCACAGTTATACCATCTAAATCTACCCTAGCTTATATAATTGCCACTGTACTGAACAGTTACATTGTTGCCTCCCCAAGGTCATGATCAATTGATATTTTTACAATAACTGTCTAATTTCTCGTGCACTGATTAGCTCTTTTTTATCATCAATAAGAGTACAGACGGATAAAATTTTAATTTATGCAAGCTTTCAAGTTCAACTTTCAGCTGTCAAACTGTCAACGTTTTAAC